AGAACTATAAACCCTGGAATGGAGTAAAAAAATCAAGTCAGTAGTTGTACGATATATATGGCGATAAATAACATCGCTTGTTATGTGTATCATAACTCTAACACTATATCCGATTCCATCATTTTATCAACAATTCGTATTGGAACAGTGTAAACGATTTGTCAAGATTATTGAACAGAATGTTCATGCTTTTCTTTTCCACCAAGGGGTCCGTGTGGATATGCATTACCCTCTGTTGGCACCGAGTACGCTTTTCGTTGGTTTTCTTATATGGGAATGAAGGATGTTCAATTACGCATTTATTGGATTCCTGACTGTCTCGTTGATCCAGTGGTCGTAAACGTGGCTGCTGATCATGAAGTCCTGGGTTCAGGTTGAGTACCAGTTCGGAGTTAGGAGGTAGGAAGTGTTTCATCACGTAAAGCCGTTGATCCTGCACCTTATCTCTCGCAATATGAGAATAAGGCGGAAATAGCAGTCTGTCAGTCTGGAGGACTGGCAGCGTACTCCCCAGCGCCGGTTCTCCAAGAATCTCACATAACGCAAGTTTTGTTACAATCCAAGATAGTATGAATGACTTCCGATAGATGGCATTAGTGACCTCTTACTTATTACGTCGAAGCAGCAGTAGTGCACACACTGTTGTGTTTCGATGTGAATAGTATCGAGTACTTTAAGGCCTGTCCTTAGATGTGTTAAGGAACATGTTGCCTTCTTTGGCTTGTAGTTATTCCTGGTTTGGTTTCTCTTTGTTCTAAAGGAATATGCTCGTGTAGGTGCAATCGCCCATAGTCGTTCCTAAAGAATATAGAGTATAGTTCCTTTTTGAAAGAATATAGAGTTTAACCAGACTCGAAATTTCATTCCTCTCCAAATTATGAACCCTCGCTACTGTAACTCATTGAAGTACACAGTGAACGGTCTGACCGAACTTCCTTCACGAACAGAACTTTTCTGTGTTATGTATATACTGTACTTACAACTTTGGCCGAGAGGTCAATCGACGGATTCAACTCGTCATCGTTCAGAAACTACGAGACATCTTCTGGTCAGCTATACCTCAAAACCTGAAAACGACACTGTACAACCAATGCGTGTTACCAGTGATGACTTATGGAACTGAGACATGGTTCTTCAATACTGGCCGTATGAGGACGCTCACGGTCGCTCAGCATAGCTTGCTGAGCGGAGAGGGCTATGCTCGGGGTTTCTCTGCGTGATAAACTTTAAAGAAATGTGAACATCCGCAGTAGAACCAGAGTGACCGACATAGCCCAACGGATTAGTAGGCTGAAGTGGCAATGGGCCGGCCTTATAGCTTGAAGGACCGACAACTGATGTGGAAAAAGGTTCTCGAGTGGCAACCTCGTATCGGTAGGTGACGTGTAGGACGACCCCCACTAGATGGAGTGACGACCTGGTAAGACATGCAGGTGGCTTAGGACCGTGCTTTGTGGCATTCCTTGGTGGAGGCCTATGTTCAACAGGGGGCTTGTGAAGGGTAATTATGATATATATATATATATATATATATATATATATATATATTTAATTCGAGGTATCAAACCTAATACCCATGTGTTGTAATGATCGTTATCTAATGCATAGGCGGACAAAAAATTTATGTAAATCAACCAAAAGGTAGTAAAATTACACAATGTTATATAAATTTTCTGTGATTGCTATTTAGATAAAAACTAGAAAATTATATTTTGCCTTACACAACAGTATCTCATTATTTCCACCAAGTTAGTCACAATACTTAATAATATTATCCGTCAAATTACAACATAAAATGAATGGGCACCTACAAGCTGTTCTGATCAAATATCTTTTGTGTCATTATGAAAACGAACATTACGCAGGTAATGTATTGATAAATATAAATATGTCAGTCAATTTACTTTAGTAGATATATCTACGCTTTGACTTGCTTAAACACTATGACTGGACATAAATTAAAATGGGACAATATTCAGTAAATGATTTGCAAAAGGTAGGTATACCTATTTAACAACTTTCCGTCTTTACAGTTCTGTGGTTATATATTTTTATTGGTAGGAAAATTAAAGTTTTTATACTTGTTTGTTTACAAGACAAAATTGTTTAAGAGAATATAGATATTATTTTGCAGGTTGGCCAAATATAAACATTCCACATAACGTATTTATCTTTGTATTTTTTATGGCAAAATTCGCCAATGACTTTCGAAAATGAAAAGTTTAGGCTAAGAGTACATTTTTAAGAGTACATTTTCCTCAATTAAGAATCAAAATGCAGAATGCGTTGTCATTCCTGAAGAGTATGATGGAATTCCTCATTTCCAGTAAAAGGGTCTAAAATATGCTGTTTATGTGAAAATGGCTTATTTCATCATTTAATTAGGACGGTGGATCACTCTACCTATCTTCATAAAGACAGTAACAAATGAAAAAATGTAATGTAAAATGTAATGTGTGATTTTGGAACATTATTGTTGTATACATGATAGTGTTGTATGTACTTATAGTGGTGATGGAAAAATATCTACTACTCCATATCGATATCGGCCCGTGAGGGTCGTAAGACTCGACATTGGAAAAATGAATCAGGAGATGGCCAGTATTTTTGATTATTATACAGAAATTTCTGTAATGATCTTTCACATGATCACCCTGGATCACTAACCTTCGTCAAAACGACGACGAGGACTCAAAAAAGTGGTAGAAATTTTGAGTGCGTTGTTATAGTGCAGTTACAAAAAATAAAAAGCAAGAAAGCGGATCTAGGTCATTTTTACAATTACGCGTGCGCCCAGGTTCACATATTTATAAATTTGTGTTTGTCTTTTCCGGGAATAATATTACTTGTTGGTGTAATAATTAATTCTTGTGGCTGACCTGAAGTACTAGGTAACGGGTCTCCAGTTTAAGGTAGGCACGAGACAATCCAATTCGAATTAGGTAATATCGCTGAAAGGCTTGTTTTCTGTCAGATCACTCCATTTACTAAGTTTAGCTCAAAATACATCTAACTTCTATTCACAGAAAAAATCTCTTCCTCACCATCCGTTTCATAAGTCGGATCAGCCTCAAGGTGGTATTCTATCTCACTCTCAGAGTAGTTTCCTTCGTCACTATTATCATCTAATAACAGCTAACTATAATGAATCGTATCTAAAATAAAAATATATTAAAATAAAAATAATGTAAGTTTTTATTTCAATGTAGGCAAATTAAGTACAAAGTCTACAAAACACCGAAATGATTATAACACCAAAAAATTAAAATAACTTTGCAAGAATAACGTTAATACTACCTTCGTCGATTCGACGAAGCTCACGGTGGCTGTGGTTGGAACGGCGCATACGGGGCCCTTACACAAAAAACACACCCGTCCACCGCACGAGCCTCGGTCGACTGAGATCAGTGTTGGAATCGGACAGGTAAAAAAATATAGTAAGTTTCCTTCAAAAAGATAGTATTTATTAAAAAAAGATCGTACATCTTAGAAATAAAATATAAAACGATAATATATTTTTAATTTTAAATTCTTCTGTCAGTTCAAAATTGGTGCAATTGCCACTTTTGTTGCGTTTTATTGCATCGCATGACATGATTTCATCTACAGTTCCTGTTACTAGTCTGTTCTGAGTCCTTGACTTGGTAAGATTGATCTTACTAAGTATTTGTTCACAATCTGCGCTTGCATGTGAAAGCACGAGACAATCCAATGCAAATTGGGTAATATCGCTGAAAGGCTTGTTTTCTGTCAGATCACTCCATTTACTAAGATTAGCTCAAGATACATTTTACTTCTTTTCAGTTTTTATTTCTTCTGGTATTTTTGCAAAGGGTAGTTTGGGCCATTGATCATCCAGAATTTGCAAAACATTTATATCATCTATATCGACGACCCTAGGAAATGCTAACGGAACGGGTAGGATTGAAGGGTTATCCTTTCTTGTTTCTTCGCTCACCGCATTCTTCGGACTCAACAAGGATATTTTTATCAGTGGTGCATTGGGTAATACCGAAACCCCATCTTTTCTTTATTTGTAAGGCAGCTTCAACCAGAAAATCTTTACAACAATGCAGGAACTCTGTGCGATGTTGTTTACCCGCTTTTATTCAGAAGTGTTAATTTTTGATGCAACAGCAATTTTGAGATATAGTTGTTCATTATTTAAATAGTATCTTGAATCTACCGAATCAATATTACTTAATTCAGATCTGTTAACGTAATTTCTGTCCATGAAGCATAGCAGAAAATCTTTGTACAGATCTTTTATTTTCGAGTCCAATTCAGTTACTACAACTTCCGCCGATTGGAAGTATTTGTTGAAATGAGTAAATTTAGGCAGTACCCAGGACATAAAGTAATAGTATAGTTTCATATATAGATCGCTGGGCAAGTCTAATGTCAATGACCCTGAAAGAGCCCTTCAGAAAGTGCCATGTCAGTAAAATATAGCTTTAAGGCATCCCATCTGGTTTGCGATGGATGGTAGCATTTTTGGGTCTAGATCAAAAACTACCTAAAACTGTTGTAACAGAGCGTATCGCTTTGAACTCATTTTTAAAAATCTGGATACTTTTCTTGCTAGCTCTTTGGATCTATTGGGCAGATTGTGACACGCTGCACTTGCACAAAGATGGGCGGAATGGCAGCAACATTTTATAATTATAATGCCTGGACATTCATTTCTAAATCTTGCTACTCTACACCCGTCTGATTCAAATCCAACTACATTTTTGAGAGGAATGCCGTGTTCTGTAAATGAGTTATCTGTAGCTCCTGTATTTGGTAAAGATGTGAAAACTTCCGTTTCATCATAGAATCTGACAACATGAAGATTTGTTGGTAGAAATTTCAGTGGATTCATCAGTCATAAGCTAAATTTTGTATTTGTGAGCTTAACCACCATAACTGTTTTATGACTAGGGGACATTGCATATTATTTTTGCACATTTTTTTCTAGTTAGATTAATTTTTTTTGCGACCTTTGAATGTATGAAACATTACTTAAGCAGTTTACCCAGATGATCTGCTGCGTTGAAGGCTATGTTATTTTCGGCCAAATAAGCAGCCAGCTTGATCTCTGCAACAGTTGCCATTTTTTTTGTGTTTGTTTCCGATGACGAACTACACGTGCTTGCAAAATAAGACGTAACTGATTTGGAACCACGTATTACAGATAAATTTTTCAAATGTTTTTTACCTTCCGAGTGTTTCACTAGATCTTGCTTTTCAGCCGTTATGGATGTTTCACATACTTTACACTGTGCTTTATATATGTCAGAATAGTCACGAGCAATCCACCTGCTAAATATTGGGCCATTTTCCCACTCAACTCTATATTTTTGTAATCGGTGCTTCTCTTTTTTCACCAAATCACCTTTCACTAGGCGCTGCTTTTTTGGAGTGGAAGCCGAAGCTTTATCAGTGTCACTTTCACTCGTCATTAAAACTGCTCTACAGGTTCACAAGTCAAGAAATTAAAAAATATATTAGTTGTTTCTTAATCGCGGGGCGGATTAGAACTATAAAACTAAAGCAAACGTGTTTTACTTTATCTTATTAACTACTATAATAACGAAGCCATAAAATATTATACCTAAATTTACAACAAAATACTAAAAAGTATAATAGTCACAGAAAAAAGAAAATCTTACATAAAATAGAGTGCAAAAGTCACGTAATAAATATAAAACTATGTGGGTAAACATTTGTTTAAGTAATAAGGTAAGTAATAAAGTAATAAAGTTGCAAACTTATTAAATAATTATTATATAACTATAAGTTCAAATAACTGCTGTCTCTAAATAAGCGGCCGTCTCGAGTATCCTTGCCAAATTCACTATATTATCTTAGTAGTGTTACAGAGGCTGATGTAAAAAGAGCGATAATGGGACTAAAAAGAAACAATTCTTGCGGATTCATATCCATTTCATCATTGAAATCCCAGCTACCCTGCTGATATATTGCGTAGATAAGTTTGTAAAGCCCTTAACTTTCGTCGTATAAGGACGGCGTTTTTCCGGATAATCTAAAATTAGTTACTAACACTAAGTAGTTTGCAGAAAAATAAACCAATGCCTTTGCAAAATTATGAATGAATTAGATAGAGGTTTTAGGCTTATTACTAAATTTTGAAAAGACCAAAATAATGCAGTTTCGTCCATATCAGAGATCAGAAGTCCCACTCGCTATATCTTACCAAGGTATAAATATTCAGGAAGTTCGCACATTTTCACTCCTCGGGATAACAATAGACTCAACTTTTTCATGGAAAAGTCATGTAGAATGAGTAGTGAGTAAGTTAAGCAGTATTTGCTATGCCCTGCGTGAGCTAAGTAAGGATACTAATGAGCAGTGCGCACTTACTGCGTACCAAAGCCACGCCGCTGCCTGGATAAGATACGGCATCGTTTTCTTGGGAAACTGTACCGAGGTACACGCGGTAGCAATGCTCCAAAAACGTTACCTTAGAATCATCACAATCGTAGTTCCAAGAGATTCATGTCGAAGGTTGTTCCCCAGATATAACTAACTAACCGTAACGTGCACGTACATTTTTGAATTATGCTATTTTTTTAGGAAAAATCCTCATTACTTCCAGCGATTTGAAGAAAGACCCAATCGATACGGTACACGCCGAGGTTACAATCTCGTTGCTTCTGCCACACTTCTTACAATATATAAAAATGGCCCCTACTACATGACAGGGTTTACAACCATTTACCTAAGACAATAAAAGCCCTCCAGTGTCGTAAATTTGAAATAGTACTTAAGAAAATGCTTATTGTAAAAACATATTATAGTGAGAATGAATATTTTAGTGATAAATTATATTTGGGGGTGGTTCGTCTGTCGGTTTTGTTTGACGGTTGGGTGGGGGGGGTGTGGGTTTGGCTTATTTTTTTTTTTTTTTTTTTAATTTTTTCGTTAACCCCCCAAAAGTTGAATTTTTAAATAAACAAAAAAATAATAAATAATGTCGCAATTTTAATTAATTGACAATTATTTACTTTTATTTACATAAAATTTTGAAACTTTATTTACATAATATAAATGCCATGAAAAACATAACTCTTAAAAAAAACCAAGTCTCGCAATTCAGTTCTTCTACCGTAAAAAGTTGTGAGATCCATGTATCCAAGTAGGTTAATTTATTCAGTCTGTTTTAAGTTATTACGTAATTAGCTAACCTAACAAATATTTTATAGTAACCATGTCAATGTTAAAATCTTATATGTTTTAAATATATAGATTGACTTGGCCATCGCACGACCACAATATACCTCACAAATAATACATATTATATTAAATTAGATTGTTTAGTGAGATTGCCAAGTCAATCTACATATTTAAAACATATAAGATTTTTAATATTGATATGGTTACTGTAAAATTTTGTTAGGTTAGCTAATTACGTAATAACATAAAACAGAAGGACCCTTAAGTAGGGACTGAATGAATTAACCGACTTGGTATTACATGGATGTCACAACTTTTTACTGTAGAAGAACTGAGTTGCGAGACTTGGTTTTTTTACAAGTTATTTGGCATCTCATTTCTTTTTGTAGATAAGATAGTTCCTTTCCGTACCTTCTACTTCTTGAATACCAATAACAGGGTACGTTACACCTATTTTTACGTCTACTTATGCATATACAAAATGGGTCCCACATATATGCAATAAATGAAACCACAAGTAGTACTAGTCCGTAGAAGTGTAAGGAAAATTAAATATTAAATTAAAACCCGTAAAATAAAAAAGTGAAATTTTCAAACAAAATAAATATTAAAATAAATTCAGTAAAAGTGAACACTCTGTTTAGACAACGTACCTTGACCCCTTGGAAGAGTGACAACGTTGCACGCGGGTGGCACGCCGACAAAAGACACCGCTGTCGATATGTCGCAATACCAATAGTTTGCACTGCGTGGCAACGTCGCTTTTTTAATGTTCAAGAATTCAAGTTCATTGAATCATTGACTTAGTGACCCAATTCTATAGAGTGTTCAAATTTGCTTAAAATTAAAACTCTTCTTTTTGACCTAATTACTGGACCGATTACGTTGATTTTTTGTATATCGTCAGCAAAGGCGATAACAAGTATATGGTTTCATTTATTGCATATATGTGGGACCCATTCTGTATGTTATTTATGCAGTTGATGTATCTAGAAAACTGGACCGAAATTAAAAAAATATTTTCGTTTTTCCTTAATTTATACACTAAACGCTAATTGCATTTTAAATGTTAAGCTTCTATGTATGCTAGAAGTGAAAAGCTAGAGCTTTGATGATCGGTCAGTCAGTGAGTGACAAAATTGAGAAACTTTGACTAATTATAATTCCTAAACTACTGGGTGAAATTAATTGAAATTTTAAATATACCGTGTCTATACATTGCCTGCTTGATTTCTGAAATTTAGGTTTCTATTTCTATCCACAACGAAGTTATAGGGGGTCGAAAATGGCTTCAATTGCTTCGCGGGGGAGGGGGGGGGGGGGCAATGCCTTGCCCCCAGATGACGAATGATCAATAGTTGACATATAATATTTATTGAAATTTAATTTTTAAAATAAGTGTGTGAGTATTATTTAGTCTGACATTTTATAAATTAATTAATACATATTCATAAACACTCACGCCTGTCACCCAGAGGGGTAGGCTGAGACTGCAGACTTCCATTTGGCACGATCCTGACACACCTCTCTCGTCTCCTTCACATCCATACACCTACGCATACATGCTCGTCGGTTAAGTGTACTCCTAATTTGGCCCCTTTTCAATATATCGCCAATTTCGTCTATAAGCTTTCGCCTAGGACGTCTCTTTCCAACTCTGTCGTTCACTTTTGTAACCTAAATTTGCTTTGTCACTCTTTACTCATTCATTCTTTCCATATGACCAAGTACTTTCTATTCCTTTATCATAGTCCAATACAATAGTCATCCAACACGACCAGAGAGAAATAAGGCGTAGGATCAACCGCTTTGGATGCTTTTCGAGGCACAGAAATGAAACACTGTCAATTCCTAACTCCGGGTTCCTACTGCAAATTTTTTGACAGAAAAACTTAATGACTGATTTTGTCCCGACCTGGGATTTGAACCCGAGACCTTACCGACAGGACTGACCAGACCAACGAAATCGTCATGGTAATAAACGAATGTAATGTAAGTCAAGTTTGTCGCTTCACCCAGAAGCAAAAGTCAAGGCTATGGGCGTGATTAGATGCGGCCTCCAAAGGCTAGATAGTAATTCTGTAATAGGTGTGATAATTATATAACACTACCTGAAACAAAGATAGAAATGCAAAAGGTTTTTAAATTAAATAACAGGAAACGCCTATGTACAATGTCAATCTTAAAACACTGTTTTTATATTATCTTTATTTTAATTGCTGTATGTGAAATTGTAACCTTTTACGACTTGACAAATTTTGATTACGTTTGCATAATATATGTATTTGTTTTTCAACACTATGGTTTATAGTTACGCTGGGATCCGCAGGGATACGCTGGGATGGGATAGGTAGCACTGTAGTAAAATTTTTAACAAATTTTATATTTAGGAAATAATTAGACTCATATTCGCAATATATTATGTAAGTTTAGTGTCAAAAAAGAAAATGGGAAAATCTGAAGATCCCAAGCTGTATGTCACAAATAAATAACTAATTTAAAAAAAATTAAACCGTCAAAGCACAAGTCCTACTCGCTTTTGACTTTTGTACATAAGTTTCGATAGCTGTCCCCGACATCCCGCTGTCCATAAAAAACTCGCAGAAATTGCTTAAGTGCATAACGGCATCCGCCCAATACGATGATAATACCGGTCTAACCCACAGACAACTGGTTGCATTTCGTAACTATGTATCGCCTCATGCCATGTTGCATTGACCCTTTGTATCTATAATTTGCATACTTGTTGCATACTTGACCTTTGTATCTATAATTTGACCTAGTTAATGACCGCGTAAATTAATAAAGAAGTTTAACAGTTGATTGGTAATTTCTTAAATTTATGCGAACACTACACATTGAATAAAACTATCATATATAAAACATTTATTCAATGATTGGTAATTTACATTACCCGACTGCGGCAGAACTTATAAAGACACATTCTAGTAGCCAGAATTCTATATTTATCATTATTCACCAGGAGCTTGCTCTAAAATACGGTCTCGTGGATTGGAAACTGCCATACATGCCGGAAGCCGAGCTTGAAAAAGACCACGCCAGGCTCTAATGGGACCGGGTTATCATCACCGACATGACTATTCTTGCGAATAAACCTGATATTGTGTTTAAGGACCGAGTACAGTCAAGCATATTTTTGGTCAACATTACCATTCCGTATGACGAGAACTTCGTGATAGCCGAAACAGATTTAAAAAAAATATATAGACCTGGCTCACGAGGTGACTGACACAGGATGGTCTGC